TGTAGTTGAAGATAATATCGGGGAGTGAGTTATAACTGTGTCTAAGAAAAAAGGAGTATCTTTGTGTTTCTCTGTTTTTACACATCAATGCATCAACTTTTAAATTGTACAATTACGAAGACATTATCATCAAAATTAAACAATAAGCTTCTTTGGCACTCTTCACCATGTGATTCAATGAAAAATGATGGCTACAAAAAATATTTTATTGCTTTTCAACAAGCTCTTCTGATGTGGGTTTAGTTGTTTAAAACAGATTTTCTTTTATTGTAGAACAGTTATATTGTGCTTGATGTTTGATTTCAGAACACAGGAGCCCTAGTGCTTAGTATTTCAATGAATAAGAAGACAGTTTAACTGATTTTAATTTTTCACTTAGATATCCCGTGGTATGCTGTTTCCTTGGTTATGTTTACATCTCTGAAACAAAGCCAGCTTCTAACTCATGTCATTAGAGAAGATCTTACATTTCCAGGAATTCTGCTCTCGCTACTGCTGCTTGCTGTGGAATGAATAGGAAGTATTGTAATCATGCATTAGGGAGAGGGATGAAAAACTGAAACATGCTGCTTATCATGCAGATGCTTAAGCTTCATGTAAAAAATATTGAAAATAACTCAAAGCGCATATGAAGCATTTAATAAACAAGCTAAATTCCATAGAAGCCTAAAAAATGAATTGACTGAATTTAGTCATTGGGATAATGAAGGCCCTTTGGCTAAAAATTGTGTTGTTTACAATTTAATGTCTTTCTTAGCCTAAAATAATTAAAGATTGAAATTGGATATAAATGGAATTATTCATAAACAAAAGCACCAGTATATAACCTTTAACCATGGTAACTGCCTTTTACAACATTCACAAAACACAAAGAAATAACATGAGATCATACTGGCACATTGAAAGTAAAAATTACCTTTGCAGGTATCAGACAACCAAAATCAGTTTGAAAATGAAAGTACTGTATACAGTACATGCCCACAGCAACACTGTGGTAATGGCTTGTGGAATTCAATGTAATTTGACAGAAGAACAAAGAAAGCTTCAATTCTCTAATCACAAAGAAATATGATGAAGTGTACAGCTGCTTAGGTGGTGTCATAGCAATAACCTGGACTTGAACATAAAGAAAACGGGAGACCCAGGCCACACACTCACAGCCCACTCAGTATTGATGGAACGGAAGTGGAAACAGTCACCAGCTTTAGGTTTTTGGGAATTCACATCTCTAAAGATCTAACCTGGACTGTGAACACTGACTCTATCATGAAGAAGGCTCAGCAGCGCCTTTATTTCTTGAGGTGCCTCAAGCGATGGGGGATGCCAATACATGTGTTGGTGAACTTCTACCGCTGCACTATCGAGAGCGTCCTCACCAATGGGATCACCGTGTGGTATGGCAACACCTCTTCGCGAGAAAGAAAGGCACTGCAGAGAATGGTCAATATGGCCCAGAAGATCATCGGCTGCGGTCTCATTAAACAGCTCTATGAGGACCGCTGCCGTGGTAGAATTCTGGCCATCACAGAGGACAGTCACCACCCAGGGCATGAGCTCTTCACCCCACTGCCCTCAGGCAAGAGATATAAGAGCATACGGACACTTACCACTAGATTCTTCAATAGCTTCTATCCACAAGCAGTGAGACTGGCGAACACATTTAGCCATCCCCCTCGGACCACACCTACACCATCACCATCTACCTCATTGTAATTTATTTATTGTACGTCTCCAGTCATTGTTTACACGTCTGTATTGTTTACATTCAAACTGTCTGCATGTTTACTTGCACATTGTCTATTGTTTGTTTGTACATTGTCTTGATGCACTGTTTGCACCTTGTTTTGTTTTTTACACTTGTTTTACAATCGAGAGACTTTCTGTAAGTAAGAATTCCATTGTACCAGTACCGGTTACATATGGCAATAAAGTTCAAGTTCAAGTTCAAGTTCAATAATGTATCATTCTTGAACACGGCTTCAAGATAGAGGCTTGTGAAAAAGACAGATAAATTATCTGAAGCATCTGTGAAAAAGATACATTTGTTTAAAGCATTCGCTCAATTAAGCAAGAAATGTTTCAATGAAGGGAGTCCTTGTCCTAGAGAGCCGAAGCATATTCTGATTTTTGTTCCAAATGGTCTGTAAATTACTTAATTGAACACACATCATCCGTTTAATTGATCACAGTTAATTGTTACTGGTCTTTTGAAATGGGTTGCTTAAAAGCTACCTATGAAACTCGTTAGACCGGGGCTCTCCACAACCAAGGATGGAGACCACTGTTTTAGGGAATCCTTCCATACATTACCTTTTATTCCTGGTAAGCATTGTAACAATTAGAAGCCAATCCTGGAAAACATAAAAGGCAAAGTGAATATCAAGGTACTACTGCTATTACGTTGTAAGGCTGCTTTGTTGCCTTGGGAAAAGAAACTAGTGTAGAAAGACGTTGTAATATTCAGCCCATATAACTCATTTGGTTGCCAGCAGTTACTGTAGCTGAGTAGTTAGAAACATCTCATCTGTCTGTTTCTTGAAAGAAGTCAAGGTATCAGCCTATAGACTAGAGCATGGAGGGAGGCTTGATCCAGACTCCCATATTTCATAGTAAAAAGTGCCAATTATGAAAATCATCATAAAATAAAAGGAAAATTAACTACAGTACATGTACGTGTATGTATATTTCAATTTCACAAAAACATTAGCAGAGAGTTCGTTATCAGCAGCTGAATAATGGAAAAGGAGAGGATTTAACCTGCTGAGATGGGTGAAACCCAACTTCTCCAACATGTTCCCCTCCAAACAGAGAGATTCTGAACATAATCCAATTTACAGTACAAAATAAGAAAATAATGCTGAAAATGTTAAGCAGTCATTATGCTTATCTGGATGTATGGTTGCTAGTAACTGATTTCTTATGGTCTTATTCAGATGTTTCTCAGAGGATCCCAAATAAATTACTTTAACAACATGCTTGGTTGGTTCCAGCCCCTCATAACTTTTAGTGTGAACGTATCTCTCCTTTTTAAGGTCCTACAGTACTGCATATGCATCCGATCACAATTTCCACAATGCTGCACCCTCATTTCAACACTGAGCTTGAAGCAGTCCCTTGGACTGACACTGTCAACTAGGATTTTGAATATTTACGTAAATCAACTCTCCTTGCAATCTACTTGTTTGGCTGGGTGTGATTACTCTTTGAGAACATCAACTATTCTTGTATCTGCAAGAATGCACATCGTTACAATTTTACAACGCAGAGTCCATGGGAAGCCTAGACATATTTGTGCTTGCAGCAGTTAGACGCTCTCAGGCAGCCTAGTTCAGTCACAGGCAGCTAATTTACACACAGACCAACATAAACCAGGTGCATTAAGATAATCTTTTCAGTGCGCCCACACTCCTTTCAAGTCTATAACATTGATTTGAACCAGAACCAGAGTTCTTATAATCCAGCTGTATACTTTACAACCATTGCACAGCCACAGTATTAATTAACAGCATAACAACCTCAACACTCACTTTAGAAAAGGTTTATTTGCCTAAATTAAGGGAACAAAGCCTATAAATTCCAGTTACTTAAAGCCAGTGTTAATCATTAAACACTTAAATGGGTGTAATTGTTTTATTTTTTTAATAATGTAAATGTGGTATTTGATCTACAGTGTAGTGTTTTCTGTGAAAAGGCTCTTCTGAAACGTTTTCACGCACACTGTAATATATTTTGTAAATAAAAGTATCTGAAAATATGAGTGTGCATGAATAAGTACATATTAGGTGATCAATGTATATTTCAATGTATATCAATCCCTATAACTATGAGTTTGTTTCAAACATCATTATTGTTACTGAAATTACAAATATTAACACATTTGATCATTATTATTTGATACTCTAATGAATGTTTTCTTTTCTTTCAGATTAGGTACTTTGGACCTGCCAGTAAAACACTGCCCCAAATCCATGAAAATATATTAATACATTAAATCAGGAAAAATACGTGGAAAAAATTATTGACTTGAGATTGAAAAGTAAGAACCAGTGTGTGCCTCATAAAAAGACATAAAAAGACAAATGTACAAAAACAGTACTGTATATGTGATGAAAATACTACTAGAAAATAATCAATAATAAAAATGAATTGCATTTATAGTGTTTTTTACCCAAAGAATTCAACAGCCCTTTACATACAGGAGGGGACCTACTGTATTTCATCCACCACTGAAGAACAGCCCCGCTACACAGATCAGGAGAAATGAAAAAATTGCATCACCAGCTAAAACAAAGGGGATCTTTAAGGAGGCCAGATTGTACTGGCCCACAGTGGAATTTAGGCTCTAAACACCCTAACTCTTTCAAAGAGTGCTGTGGGCTCTTTAATGACCTAGTAGTCAAGGGTTTAGTTTAATTCAAAGAACTGCACCACAGTGTCCCCACTCACCATACTGAGGTACTGGTCTGGAAATTGTAGTCTGAGGGAACTGTCCCACCTGCCTGTCCAGCAGCATAACTGATCGGAGCAGCCTGGTCTGCCTTGGGGGTCACAAATTCCAGTAAAACCAGGAGCTGTCTTGCTTAGTTTTTCAGGCATGATTGTGTCAAACTACGAAATGTAATAACATTACTATCAATAATAATAATAGCTGAAAATATTTTTTTTGCGTTACCCTGGTATATCAACTGGTTAAAAATAAATGTTTTTAAGGTAATAACAGACACAATCATAAAAAAGCTGTATTTGTAAGGCACATACTGTACTGTATACCCGCACTGTGTATATATGGCCTCTACAGTATATCTGTCATACAGTATATTATATTTGAGATCTTGCGGTCAGCACTAATCTTACTTGATATTTTGCACTTAAACCACAGACTATTTTTTGTTGTTGTTGCTGAATTGTGCTTTGCCATCCACAGGTTAATTGGAGCTACTTCTGTGTCTGCGTGTGCTTTCCTTCAGTTTGTCAGATTCTTCCCTCCCCAATTACTAACGTCACTGTTAGGAGTGGATGGTGTGTATAATAAAATTACATGCATGGAAAAGAGGAAAAGCGGATAAAGAACGGAGAATTTCTTGCATGCAGTGTGTCTTGATGCAAAATAATTTAATGAGATACTTCTCTACGGACATTTCCGGGATTGTTACCGTTCCCCATTTTGCGTGTCATGTACCTGGGGTTCTGGTCATTTTTTTTTCCGTAGGGTTTCCATCTGGAGATAACTGTATTCCTGTCTAGTGGATTGGAGTGAAAGTCCGCCATATTCTGCCTTACCACGCCCGGGAGTCGAGCAATTGAGAAAAGGGCTGTATAAATATATTTATTTATGTGTTTTTTTTTTACCATATACATAAAAGGAAAAAGCGTACAGTCTGGAGACTGAATTTCAATTAATAATACAACAAAGAAGATTTTAAGAAATCATCTAGCAAGGATGAAAACCCTTTACAAGATTAGGTAGAGAAAGGCTACGGAGGCTTTCTGAAAGGATCTGTTGCTCAAACTGAGAAAGAAAAGCAGATTAGCCCTGTTAGGATTTTAATAGGGTTCCAGGGGGTTATTTAGAGTTACTGTTTTGTTTAAGAGGAGCTGCAGATTATCAGAAAGAGAAACCAAAAGGGGGGGAGGGGGGCAATTATTACAAAAAAAAAATCTTGGTCATTTTTTGTTTTGTTTTTCCTTTTTTTAAAATTCCATTAATCGTGAATGTGTCCGCGTTTTGTGCCGACTGGACTGAGATTTCTCTTCCAAAAGCCGCAAAGGATTTTGATGTTTTATTTTCGCGGGCGCTGTTATTGAAAACATTGTACAATTAAAAGGCACTAGAGTGAAGGAGATTTTTTTTTTTGGAAGAATGACTCTGGAGTCCATCATGGCGTGCTGCCTTAGTGAGGAGGCGAAAGAAGCTAGACGGATCAACGACGAGATCGAAAGGCAGCTCCGCCGGGACAAGAGAGACGCTCGCCGGGAGCTTAAATTGCTATTACTCGGTAAGAAGCAGCTGCGGAGAACGAATATTTAGCCGCGCACAAACAAAATAATTTTCACGCTCAGGCGAAGGAGCGATAGCGTTTTAAGTGCTGGTACACTTACAAAACAGCGGTTAATGTCATGCAAATAAGGTGGTTTCAAGGAAATTTTCACAAGAGTCCGGGGTTTAAACTGCTAACCGTTATTTTATTCTTTCTGTCAGTGATTTGTTAGCGATAATTTAGTGTTTTTCATTTTACGAACGCGCTTCTATTTTCAATAATATAATTTGTCATGTAGTTTCCGCCCTTATTCCGAAAAGGCCAAAGTCTGGGTGCTTTATTGATGGCTATAAGAGGTTCAGAAATTCCTTGCCTGCAAATTATTAACTTAAAATTCATAAATGCCCATGTGGTATACGTTCAAATGCTAAGTTTTCTGAGATCACATCAAAATATATAATCAAATATTTCGCTTTAAAGTAGCCTTTTGACAGCTCTAACATATTGAATCAGGGTTGTAAGTGCAATTCATTTTTTTACTCTGTCCATTTTTGTAATTACTAATACAAGATTATCATTGTACATGAGGAATCAAAAGTGCGTTTTAGGTCAGTGATAAGATCTTGCAGGGGCTCCATGTTAATTTATCAATAAATCTAAGAATGATGGCGCTTCTTAGAAATCATAAAGGCTGTTTTGGATACACCGTTTTATACGGTGAACAGCTATACTTAGAGTGGTGTTGTATAGTCAACTGTACAGGTTTTCTTTATTCTCACTTCAGTTTAAACATTACTAAAGTAAAGATATTGAGTTTTTAGCTCAGTATAGCAACGTCCTTTCATTCGGCAATAGAATAATAATCTTTTGTTAATGTGTGAATCTCTCATAAAAGCCTGGGCATGCTTAACGAATCTTTGGTTCTTTTGGGGGCGTATTTGTTTTAAAATAGTTTAAATTATGCATTTTAACGAGCTGCGAAACAATTGTGGCAGCTGTTAAGCTATCGCATTGGTAAAAGCCCATCAGACTATCAATGAAATAAGTTTTTCGTGAAAGTGCTCGAAGTATTTTTTTAAGATAAAATTGTTCTTCAGAAAGTCAGTGTTAAAGCAGCATACATGATTCTTGCATTGCAAGAATCATTTAGTCTCTTCTGTGGTTTTTAGGACGAGGGCTGCTTCTTGTACTTCACCAGAATGTCTTTACTGTTATTTTCTCGCAAGATACCACAGGTTGCTTTTCATATCCAGATTCACGGTTGATGTAAAAACTCTGTCATGAACCTCTCATAGACGTTTGAAAAATTCACAGACGCGTTTATAAAAAGGGAAGATGTTTCTTAATTTGGTTTTGAATCAAAAGGCTTGATACCAGAATAATAGCATCCCAATAAATCCAACCTGATAAAATCCCGTATTGTCGGGGCAAAAGGCACACTGCAGAGCTGAGAGTGGAAGATCTTTAAATCTATCTTCCAACTAAGGAATTTTATTACAGGCGTTGGGGAGGGTATCGTGAGTAATTGAGGTCTGCAATCTTCTTGCCTGGCCTCACCACGTCTGCTGGTGGAGTGGATTCTGGAGGCTGTGATGCGAGTTTGGGGCCCACAGAGTATCTCCATTTGTGAAGTCCTCAGCGGAGCCAAGACACAGATGGATCCTTTGCGGACCTTTGCTGCCTGAACTTTGTACTTGTTCTGCCAGTTGCATGATGGAGCAAACTACCTAAAATGTGCAAAACAAAACTAGACCTGTGGGCATGTGAACCAAGTTTAAAGGATAGAGCAATGGTGTAAAAAAAAAATGCAAGTATCATTTTTGAAAGAGTGTGCATTGCTAGACATGCCCTTTGAAATGTAGGCATTTTTGTTGTCCACATTGGACATGCAAAACGGTGATGTAGACTGCATATGCTTGTTTTATCTTTTTGGTATACTGGTTAGTGCTTCTGTTCAAATCTTATTTAGGAATTACCCATTTGAGGTGCATTGAAACCCACTGGTATCATGATGCATGATGTTTATTAAACAAAATGAACTGTCACATCACAAGTTCTCTGGCTGTGCTGCCAAGGAGTACATTACAAGGTCCAGTTAAGCTATTTTCTAAGCTTGTTTGTGTTGAGGTGCTGGGGCTTTGACTTTCATGGCCCAAGCCTTTTCAAGTTTTTAACTGGACTCATAGATTTACTGTAAAGCCATTTTAATTTGTGTTTTATTTATTGTTCATATTTACTGGTAAGCATGACAGTAACAACGTTTTACAGTACAGTAAATGTACATTTTAATGCTGGATGAATACATATTTAAAATAATACAGAAAAAGATCAAATGGATTTTGTTTCACTGTATGAGAACCATACAGACACAACATCTTTGCTGTCTATTACAGATCCAACGTTTCCTAGTATATGTTGTTCTTACTTAAAATGACACTTTTTCCCGAAATGACTTTCAAATTTAAAAGGTGATAGAGGTGTGGATTATGCAATCTGCTGACATACCTTGGCAGGATATTTCCTAATTGTGCGTACTGTAAATGGGGCTCTTGTTAGAATATTGTGGCCAACAACTAAATGATTTTTACCATTACTTTTTGTTAAATCATTACAATAAATGTTATGTCCTGAAATAGGTAACTGAAATACTTATTAAAAGTTGAAGTTTTTTTCTCAGAACATCTTTCTCTGACTTTGAAACCTAAGTATCCATGTAATTAGCAGTAATAAAGTATGAATGTAAAATGACACAGGTTTTGGCTAAGTAACGATAAAGAAGCAAGAAATATCTAGCTGCTTTGCCTTTTCAGGTCTGTCGTTGATGTTTGAGAGACCCAGGAAAAGTTGGCACTTCATTTTGTGTTAAAGGCGCGATGAAAGCTTACACCAGTTTTGTGCATAGGGTGTACACCTTGTAGTTGTTCATTGTTTTCAAAGCAGTTGCTCACTTTGCCTAAAGGGAAATAGAAAAGTATGTTATGGCAGGTTGAACAGGTATGTTTAGGTTGATAGTGAAATGTGATAGTGAAAGCAGAGAGAATTTTACTGTTTCGGTGTCTCGCACGCATAAGCACAGCGCACTGCATGCACAAATCACTGAATTCCTTCATTTAGAAATTGTGCTAACAAGTGCATTATCTTAATATGTCTTATTAAAACTATTTTACGCAACTTGATATTTTGAGCTCTCACTTTAGTGGAACACATTATAGCAGTATGACAACAACTTAAAAAGTAGAGGATCTGTAATTTTCCATAATATAGCCCGCGTTTTTTAAAAGATTCACATCACGTCTAAAGGGGTGTGTACTTTTTCAAGTGAGATTGATTGGTGAAAGTTGTTATACATTCATTGAGAAATCATACAAAGCAACAAACTTGTTTTAGCTTGTTTAGAATTTTGCTTGGTCTCCCCACACAGTGATTATTCTACTGTCCTTCATAAATATTGTCCTGTAATGTAAGGGAAAGACTTGCCTAGATCTAGTCTGTTAAGGACAAAAGTACTCCCCCTCCTGCATGCAAAATTCTATAGTGTAATTATTGTTGTTTTCATAAATGATTATACATTTTTGCTGGGGTATATAACCTTATGTTTATTATTATTGACATACAGTAGTTTTTTCGATACATTGTTGGCACATCGTGACAAACTGTACTCCATATTTATTCAGCATCTTGGACTGGAAATAATGAACAATCCTATTATGAATGAACAATCTTATTATTTTCACAACAGGCAAGACTAAGTAATTATTCTGTTGATCCCCACTTCAAAAAACAAAATATATTTATGTATGTATTGAAGTGGAGGCCTTTTCTAAACCTTGAATGATGGTTGGAATCTGTACATTTAGCTTGCTGTTGATATATACTGTATCTTACTCCTAAGTAAACTGTTCACTGACTGCTTAGATGTAAATTGTAATTGGGATAGGTTGAAGTTATAAATGAAGCACATTATTCAGTACTGAGGTTTCTGAACAGTTTTTGTGTTTTTTAATAATGACCTATATAATAATTTATATAGAAAGTTCCTTCTTACTAGGTTAAAATATTGAGAAGGGCTGACACAGACGTTTAGTTGTTTTGAGTTGCCATGATTGCAGCAGCCTTCAGACGCGTTGTCGAAAAAAAACCTTGTAGCTCTTTTTTAACCTGGGACGGCTGTCTCATGGCTGTTTTCAGTAGCCAAGAGAAAAGACACTTGGATACCTTCTTAAGTTGTGAATAAGAATTAACCACATGTAGCCTTTGAATTTTAATAGGCATAGACACTTAGAAATACAGAATCCTAATGTTTTAACAGGATTTGGTAGGATAAAGTTAAGTGTATTTTGTAATTGGGTTTTGTGCTGTCGTGACAGATTCAGAATGTTTAAAATTTGCCAGAAGCATACTGTAGGTCACAGTGCATGCAAATAAGATGCCCCAACACAAGTGATCAGTTAGCTCAGGGTTTTGGGGCTGACCTTGATACTGGGGACCCATATATTGCTGACTTTTGTTCTAGCTGAACTCTTTATTTAACCGAATCGAACAGCCGAGTTGCTTGGTCATCACCTTTGCAATTTTCATCTTCTCAAAACGTGAAGACCGTCGATTCTAGATACGTGTTAAAAAGCAGCTGCCAACACGTTTTAGTACAAAGGATGAAAAATAATCCTGTTGTGAGCTCAACAAAGTGTTCAGTCATGTACCCAAGATCACAGCTGTGCTTAAAAGCAGCAGGCACGTGGATCTGTGAATGCTGGGTGCCCTACATGCAGTGGCATTAAGATTTTATATGAAATATAAGGGCATAAGCATGTGTGATACACAGAATACTTGAAACACATCCTCTCAGTGCCATTTCATTCTTATTAAAAAAATATCTTGATGTGGGGGATCTGTCCACCGGTTCAGTAAGTGGGAGGCATCTTGTTGTGGTGGACTTAGAAAGACTGCTGTACAAACTGCCTTTAGCTTGATTCGGTTTAAGTCCACTGCTAGATAGCCATCTGTCATCTTTATCACTG